GATTTACAGCTAGCTCAGGGAGAACAACCATACCCTAGGCGTTGTCTTGGGTCCCTAATCCCATCTTTGGAAATGGCACTTCTCTGACCTCAGTCACCTGAGATACCAATTGTTCTTTCCAATTGAAATGTGTGACTAGTTATCAAGACATCATATAATTCTGGACCTTGCACTTCCACTTCAAGGATTTTTCTGAAGACATAAAGACAAAAATGTATGCAAATATATAATAACACTTCATATAGTAACAAAAAATATTTAAAAATTAGATATTAGAAACAATATAATACACGTTATATAAATTAAATTAATATTCACATAGACAATTTAAGTAAGGCATGTGTCATTCATATATGCAATGTATCATTCATATATATTTGTCAATATTTAGAAAATGTCTTGAAAAAAGCATATCAAAAGGTGAACTGTGGTTTCCTCTAATTTGTGAAATTTATGGATGAAGAGAATGAAAGTTACATATATGCATACATGTAATTACAGTTATACATAATTATAGTTATATGTCATTATAGTTATGTATAATTTATGTTAATTATATTCCGTATAATTATATGTGTATTATATATTTCTATATTCTGATTATCTTTAAAACAATTTTTAAACTTTTTAAGATAATTATAGATTCACATGAAGTTTTAAGAAATCATACAGAATAATCCAGCATATTTTCTACCAAGTTTCCTCCAGCGGTAGCATCTTGCAAAACTATGCTACTATATCAAAACCAGTATGCTGACGTTGATACAGGCAAGACACAGAACAATTCTGTCCCTATAAGGATCTCTCACACAGCCCTTATATAGCACACTCACTTCCCTCCTGCCCCCACCCTCTCCTTAACCCTTGGAAATTACAAATTTGTTCTTTAGTTCTTTCATTTTGTCATTTTGAGAATGTTACATAAATAAAATTATACAGAATTTAACCTTTGGGGTTTGACTTTTTTTCACTTAGCATAATTCTCTAAGGATGCAGCAGGTTACTGTGTATATAAATAGTTTGTTCTCCTTTTTTGTTGAATAGTATTTCATTACAAAGATGTACAAAAGTTTATCCATTCATCCACTGAAGAACAACTGTGTTGTTTCCAGTTCTTGGCTACTAAAAATAAAATTGTTATGACCATTTGTGTACAGGTTTTTGCATAAACATAAGTTTTTGTTTCTCTGGGATGAATGCCTAAGAGTACAATTACTGGATTTTATGGTAGTTGCATGTTTAGTTTTTTAAGAAAATGTCAAATTATTTTTCCACAGTGGCTGTACTGTTTTACTTTCACACCAGCAATGTGTGAGTGATCCAGTTTCTCTACATCCTCACCAGCATTTGGCGTTGTCACTTTTATGATAATGTTTATCATCAGTTTCTGCCTGGCTTCCCAAACATAATTTGTCCCTAAATTCCTTCTTAGTCACTCTCTTTGATACACTCCTGGAAAAAAAACCTTCCAACCCAGTAAATCGCCAGATTGCTGTTATTACTTAGAGTAGAGTGGCAGAGAACTTTATCCCCAGTCTTTTCCATTGAATATCTTGGTGAAGGCGTAGACAGTCATCCTTCTCAAGTATGCAAAACACTGGGAGAGAGAGCAGTGAGTGGTTTAATAATATGACTGGTGGAACAAAACAAAGGGGCCAACCCAATCAGATACAACTTAACAGAAACAAACCCATTTATTCAACAGAACCAACACTGACTATCTTCAGGCTCTATGCAATGTGCTAAGGATACAGACATGTACATTAGAGTCACTACCCATTTAACTTCACAGTCTAGAAAAGAGACTTTGAAATAAGTATGAAAACAAATATGTTTAAACTTATATTATTGTTAATGTGCCTGTTGATTTAATGTAGTGTCTGACTTTTTTTTTTTTTTCAATCAGCATTAAAAAACTATGGATGAGTTTGAAGTTGGGGAATAATTCCTGTATTTTAGGAAGGCTCCTTCTGTGTGTGTGGCTGAAGGATTAGAAGGGGACCTTTGGGAATACAAAGGTCACCTGAGAGATTAATTCAGTAGTTTGAAGAGAAATGGCAAGATCTGCGGCTGGGAACAGTGGCTCATGCCTCTAATCCCAGCACTCTGGGAAGCTGAGGCAGGAGGATCGCTTGAGCCAGGAGTTGAAGACTAGCCCGGGCAACGCGGTATCTAAAAAAAATACAAAAAACATTAGTCAGGCATGATGGTGTGTGCCTATAGTCCAAGAAAGAAAGAAAGAAAGAAAGAAAGAGAGAGAGAGAGAGAGGGAGGGAGGGAGGGAGGGAGGGAGGGAGGAAGGAAGGAAGGAAGGGAGAGAGAGAGAGAAAGAGAGAAAGAGAGGAAGGAAGGAAGGAAGGAAGGAAGGAAGGAAGGAAGGAAGGAAGGAAGGAAGGAAGGAAGGAAAGAAGGAAGGAAGGAAGGAAGGAAGGAGAAGGGGAAGGGAAGGGAAGGGAAGGAAGGGGAGGAAGGAAGGAAGGAAGGAAGGAAGGAAGGAAGGAAGGAAGGAAGGAAGGAAGGAAGGAAAGAACAAAGTTTTAAGAACAGTACCAGTGGTGATCATGGAAAATGTGTGCAGTAGATGTGAAAAGGGTTTATAATAAGAAGTCTTGCTTACCAATCAGCCAATGAGGCTGACAACAGGGAGTACTTAGGATTATTCCCAAGTCTCTGTCTCAGGCAACCATGAAAATGTCTGTGCTCTATAAACTGAAGAGCAAATTAGAGCATAGGAATGTGTTTTGAAAGAGACAATGAGTTCAGGTAAAAATGTGTTGAGTTGAACCTAAAAAAGAGCATCCCTCGGAGGTGTCCTATAGGTAACTGAATCTCTTCTTTTTTAAAAAAAGATCCAGACTGTAGCCATAGATTTTGGAGTTTCTAACATAAAGATTATATTGGCATCCATAGTAATACATAAGATTCCCCAGTAAAGTTTATACACAGAGTAAAAATAGAAGGGGAATTAAGTTTAGAATCTTTGGAGGTATCAACATTCAAGCGAAGTCAAAAATAGTAAGGGCCATTCAAAGAAACTGAAAAATAATGGTCAAATAGCAGAAAACTAAGGTAGGAGGAAACATGTCATATAATTCAATAGAAAAGAAAAGTGCAAGTATGATAGAGGCATCTAAGATGACAATTACTTTGAAGTCATCAAGTAATGTGGTCAATTACATTACATTAATCACATTTGGCACAGCTCTTTCCTATACGGTAATTACACATCCCCTTCCTAAAGAAGTCAAACATGGTCAAATGACTTGCTCTGGCCAATTAAACATGATTGGAAGTCATATACTTCACTTTTAAGAAGAAGCTTTAAGAGCTGGCTCATGGTTCACCAAGTTCTCTTTCCCTATAAACATAATAAGTGAAATGCTCAAGATAGACTATTCATCAGCTCCGGTTATAGAATTCATAAAACATTGATCATAGCTACAGCCAACCAAAGATGGCCATATAGTATGAGGAACAAGTCAAACACTGTGCACATAAGCCACTGTGATTTGGGATTATTTGTTACTGCAGCTGGGCAACCTAATCTATCATTATAGACATAGATAAAATAAGGAAATAAAATAGAAAATTTCACAGAGTGAAAACTATTTTAGTTGCCAAAAAATGGAAGTCAAGCAATGGCAGGAAAAATAAGCTAATATCCCTAGAGATAACATTTAACATCGTCTTAGTCAAGAACCAATGAAGAAACAGAAATTACTCAAAGTACTTAGAACAGAAGGAATGTATTGCAAAGAATTGATTGAATAGACATTAGAAGAGCTAAAAAGTCAACTCGGTGATGGTGAGGCACCCAGAACCTGACAATAGGAGGAAACCACTAACAACTTCAGCTAGAGAGAAAAAGAAAGGAGGTGATGTAACCAGAGCCCAGAGGCTGGACTCACCCAGCAAAAGCTGGAACCAAGGCAGGCCTATTTAGCAGGACCTGGAGCCTCAGACATGGTACAGCCATTTCCAGAGACTTCTCCCAAATACAGAGCCAGAAAGGGCCACACAATAGTTCTCCTCTTTTCCTACTTCCTATCTACTGCCTACACCTCCCAGGGGCAGAACCTAGCCCAAATGTCAGCTGATTTGGGAACCTGAGAAATGCAAGCTGCAGCAATCAGCATCACGTCTCCTATCCCCTCTCAACACAGAGCAGAGTAGAGCAGAGCAGGGGAAGGGTAGGAAATGGATCTGACAGCAAACAGTCCCAAGACTGGCACAGGCCAGGTCTGAAAGCCGAAGGTGGCAGATATTCTAGGTAGGAAGAAACTTGATTTTTCATTAAGGTGTAAGAATGTTAGAGGGAAAAGGATTTGGTTATCTGTTCAATGCGGCTGGAGTAGAGCTCATGTGAAGAAAGGAACATAGATAAGAAGACTAGACGTGTAACCGAAGGCCAGATCATGAACAGCCTTGCATACCATGCTCAGAAGCTTGAAATCTACTGTTCAGGCTGTCGTGATATTACCAGAGTAATTCCTTGGAAAGATAATTCTGTCATCATTGCAGATGACAGAGTAGAGGAAAGAAAAGATAGTTCCTCACCCATTTGCCTAAGGATAATGTAGTAAAGGCCTAACTTGGTGGAAGGATCAGTGAAAGCTATTGAGTGGCCATAGCTTAACTACAAACTTAATAAAAACTAGCATTCTAGTGAAACAGAAGCCAAACCAATTAAGTTAGTAAGATGCTAGTCTTATCAGGCAATATTTTGAAAATTATTTTTTCATTTTTTAAATGTAAACATTTATTTGGGCTGGGGAATAGGAAAGTGAAGGGTCTGGAAACACCGTGAGATAAAAAACAGTTGGGAAAAATAGAGATGTTTAATTTAGAGATAAGGAAAGGAAAAGGAATCATTGTGTCTTACTTAAGATTCCAGGTTTTCTTTATAAAAACAGGCTCTCTTGAATTTATGAACCAAGGAAAAACTAATCTGGGTATGTCCTTCTGAATAGAGTCCCCAGAAATAAAAACAGGACTACTGAATCTATTCATTGCTTTATTTGTCCTTTTCACAGGTCACTACATTTTAGGGCATTTAGTCTATAATTGGTAGAATGCATTTCAGCCAGGGAAGATAGGAGCGTCATCCTCCATCCCCATCCACCTCTGCTCGTTCTTTATCTTGACATCACACCAAGTGTGATAGCGCCTCCTGAAAGGCAGAAAGACAACAAAAATTAGAGCAGCTTACATGTAATTTGAAATATTCACTTTCAGTATCCTGTTGGCCACCATTTTACTGATGGGGAAACAAAAACTCAGAGTGATTACGTCTCGGCTAAATGATAATGTCACAACTATAACACATGTCACTGTCATTCAAAAACCCTTCCCAGAAATGTAGAAATCATATTTTTCCTGACATTCCACGACATGCAAACTTCCTATGAGTGTAATCAGTAAAGTGGAAGTGCACATTTACAAGTGCCAAGAGGATGAGGTAGACATTCAGGGTGACTACGCCCTCCCCTCTGGCAGATTAGCCTCCCAAGCTGTGGTTACCAGCAGTTTCTTCACAGCTTCAGAAGCCTCTGGTCCCAGCTCATTCACACACTTCTTTAGCCCCTCCAGAAGGTGCTCAACAGAAATGCCCAGAGTTTTCAGAAGAAGCTTTAATGGATCCATAAGCTGAGGAATGTTGTCCAGAGGTAAAGGTACCAACTTGTCATCAGGAAGGGGCGCTTTGTTGAAGAGGAAGGCAGTAGCTGCAGGCAAAAGAGAAACCAGGTGAGACAGGCACATCCCGGCCCAGACTATGACCTCATCATCTTTCCCTGTGTCCATCAATAGGTCCATTCCAGATCCACTCATCTTACTTCCATTCAAAACTTCTGCCTCTGGCCCTGTGCACCTGCTGTTCCATCTCCCTAGAACTTTTTTTCCTCAGCTAGCTACATACCTTTCTTTCTCACATTATTTGGTCTCTCTTCAAATGTTACCTCCTCGGAGAAACCTGCAATGGCCATTGTCACTCTCCATCACTTACTTTTTCTTACCATTTCCTAAAAAAACAACTCTTCATTTGCTATTTTTATTGTCCTTATTGTCTCATTAGAATGGAGGCTCCATGACAACAAGGAATGTATGTTTTGTTCACTACTGCACCCATGCCTAGAACTGACCCTGGCACAGTGTAAGCATTCAACAGATCCTCGTGATTGACTGAAGAAGATGGTATTTTGTATGTGGCTATCTCCACAGCTCACAGCTTGAGGCTAAAGGAGAGATGCCATAGTGAATCTCCACATAAGGACAGGAATAGACCCAACCACAGCCAAGGAAACTGCTCCCAACCAGTTCAGCTCAACACTACAAACACAATTGAGCACCAACTCTATGCTAGTCTGTGCAGATACATAGACAAATAGGACAAGGATGCCCATTCAGAGACTTCACACAGTCCAGTTGGCAATAAAGATCTGTGTATGCCGGGCCGGGTGCGGTGGCTCACGCCTGTAATCCCAGCACTTTGGGAGGCCGAGGCAGGCGGATCACAAGGTCAGGAGATTGAGACCACGGTGAAACCCCGTCTCTACTAAAAATACAAAAAAAATTAGCCGGGTGCGGTTGTGGGCGCCTGTAGTCCCAGCTACTCGGGAGGCTGAGGCAGGAGAATGGCGTGAACCCGGGAGGCGGAGCTTGCAGTGAGCCGAGATCGCGCCACTGCACTCCAGCCTGGGCGACAGAGCGAGACTCCGTCTCAAAAAAAAAAAAAAAAAAAAAAGATCTGTGTATGCCACAGTGTAGCATGTGCTATGCTAACATTATGGACAAAGCTCTATGGAAACACAAGGAAGGGATGACTAATTCGAACATGAGAAAGTGCTGCAGGAATTTTCCAGAAGTGTTGTTAGAGCTATGTCTTGAGGCAAATGTCAGGATCATAAGGTAAAGAAGAGTGGAAGCATTTTAGAAACATGACCAATAAAAGCACGGAAACGTTAGGATGAAAGTGCATACACAGGATGGTGAGCCTTCTGCCCAGAAGGCTGGAGTGCAGATTTACAATAGGCTATGACCAAAGGATGGAAGATAAAGGGAGTCAGGCTGCAAAAGTTGAGTGAAGTCAGATTTTTTAAACTGTTGGATGTCACACAAAAGAGTTTGGATTTTTTTTCCTGAGGGCAGTGGGGTGCTATCAAGGCTTTTACATAGGAAAATTATATTTTTATATCTTTGGCTTTAGAAAGATAACTTTCCCACAGAAGATGAATGGGGGGAAAAGTAGAGATTGAGGAAAATATGTATGATATATATTTTTACAAAAACATTGCATATATGTAAATGTACACATGCATGTGAGCACACATGTAAGAACACATATTCTCCTTCTGGCTAAGACCTGCCATAGTTTATTTTCCTTTGGAAACCTATTATTTCCCTATTCAAATTATTAAAATGGAGCCTGTACATCTTTTTTTTTTTTTTTCCATTTTCTATTGCCTATTGTCCCTCCAAAATTCTCACCCAGAGGGGGTGATATTTATTTTCCCCACCACCTTTCTGTGTCACTTTTGCCCATAGATACCTGTCCCTGGACACTAGGGAATAATGAAATATCCAAAACTGGTGAACTTACAAATTCCTTCAGAAATTCAATAAACATCACAAGTCAAAGTTGTCAGTGTAGGTGTGGGCAGCAATCAATTATTAATCTCCATACTTCTTATTTCAGATATTTTGGTAAATATCTTCTCTGTATGTATTTACAGCTTCCTGAGAGAAGGTCTTCAAAGCCTTTTAAAGTTCTCTCAATGAGCAGTGGCCGTCATGAAATCTTTTTTTCCCATGTACCCAAACTATCTTCCTGATAGTTATAATGATTCCCCCAACCCCCCCCCAAAAAGCAGTTCCCATTCTCCTCCAAGAAGCCAGCTTCTATACCCTTACCTGAAAATTAAACTCATCACCCACCAATACACTTACAGAGTTCTATCTGGCTATCTCACAGTGCATTTACAGTAGTCTAGCATTAGAGTAACTTTGGTAGAAGCCTTATCTACCCTACCAGACTAGCACCTTAAGAACAATGTTTATGACTGATTCATGTCTAAATCTTCCAATGCATATCCAGTGCCCCAAAAATTGTAGCCTTTCAATAAATATCCACTGAGTGGATGAAAAGATGAACGTAGCTATCTCAGGAGAACTAAGCTAGGAAGTTGGATAACTGGAGATGATAGCAAGAATGACTCCATATAGTTCAAAAGCGCAAAATAAATTATAAAATCAAATTTTAACTCAAAATTGAGGAAAATAAGAAAAACTAATGGTGACCAATACCCAGCAGTGAAATGTGCTTTGTTGACCCTCTGTGGAAGTTGGCTAACTTCCTATGTAAGATGTATTAGAATACTTATAGTGGGTTAGAGCTTAGATGGTGGGGATCTGAAATACTTTCCAACATCACCATTTTCTGTGATTCCAAAACTTCTTCCAAACCTGCAAATATGTGCAATTATTACGTGTCAGTTAAAAATAAAATAAAAAAATAAAGTTCCTACCACCATATTCCACTGTCAGTGAGGCAAAGCTTACTGGTTGTGCTCTTATTAACAGAAAAGTAGATAAATATCATATATGCCAGATGTATTCCAGTTACTTACCAGAGTAACTACAAAGGCCGATGGTCACCAGCAGGAAGATAGTTACCAGCTTCATGACAGTTATCTGGTATATTTTTCAGGAGTTTAAAAATCAGAAAAATCTAGTAAAATCCACCAAGCCAGTGGTTCCACTTGCCATACAAAGTGTGATGGCTGCTTTTGCAAACACATGTATTTATATGCCCGTTGAAGACTTGAATTCTAGTCCCTACCACTTGACTCACCAACCCCCCCCAAATAAAGGGATAAAGGTTATGTTTTCTCACTAAACAATTTGGAGAGTTTTCCGCTTTGCCTTGTGTTCCCATGAAAAACAAAGCCCTACATTATAGCATTGTCAAGTACCTCTTGCATAAATCCTTGCACAGAAATAAAAGTGGAAGACAAAGAGCCCAAAGAATCCTTCTCCTGGAAGAACGTTGAAAAGAAGTGAAGAATTTATATTGGGATTAGAAGGAGGGTTTTCCTCTAGTTTTCTGTATTTTCCTCCTCCAGTTTTCTATTCATTTAAAGTTTGGAGAATCACATTAGCTGATGAACTACCCGGTTGTGAAAGCAAGCTGGAGGTCCCCTTGGCCCTGGTATAATACAGAGTCAGTTTAATGACATTTAGTGCCACATTTCTCTGGAACTCACCTGCCCCCAGCCCACTCACACATCTACTGTGGCAAGATTTTCACATCTCTGTTACCGTTTCCAGTGTCAGTTATTTTGAGTACGTTCAGAGCATGTCTGCTCTGAGCCTTTGAATAGAATAATAGGCTTAAGATCTAACATCAAAATGCCTTCTGAAAAACCTGGGATTCAATCTTCACTGTTTGTGTAATCTTGGATTTGACGTTTTTAATCTATGATATTGGTCCTCTCATCTAAAATGGGAACATAAATAACATGACCAACCATAAGGTGTGTAGCTTGGGGAGAAAATTGTTTTTGCAAGATTCTTTGGCAATCGAATCTGATAAAATAATTCAAAAATACGTAATAACAGGGTGCTGGCTACAGGAGTAGCAATTTGTTTCCAAGGCTGTCTTTCTGGATCCAGGGTCCAGCCACAGGACCTCAGGACAACTTCGGTTGTGAGCACAAGTCCTGGAGTTCTTTGGGGCATCAAGTAGGCCTGACATGCAAGGAAGAGGGTAAGAAAGAACCATGAAGGGATGAAACAGAAAGCAGAGTCCATATGGGCACAGGACCAGCTCAGAGCTCCCTGACCACATGGTACTGCTGGCTCCAGCCATTCCCACCACCAAAGTGGAACCCAGAAAATTTTGAGAAAACACACCTTAAGATGCAAGGCCAGAGGTTGGGTCTTTATTTGTCCTCATCTGAGGGTTTGGTGTTGTAATGAGGATCTAACAAAATTACGCAGACAGAGCATTCTGCTGTGCCAAACCAAAATTAATATCTAATTTATGTCACATTTTACTAATTTTTATGTTACCATGTTGTAACTGCCATTTCTTTATCCTTCTGCTACTTTATAAACTAAAAGAAAGACACCATGAATGCCTGGCATGCACCTCAATCCTGCCACTTCTCCTCCTTTCTCTACCAGATACTGCTTCCGTTTCTCCTACATATTCCCACTGATGCCAGTGATATTAAGATACCAAGCCCCTCAAAGAGCCAAGGTTGTGTGCATGAGTGGTGGTAAGATTGATGCTGTTGCCAGAAGAACAGGGTCTGGCTGCTTGCTCTCATGGTTTAATAATGAGGTGCAGGTGAACTGGGAAAGAAGAGAGTTTATTTTTGTAACCAGTCACAGGGAGAATGTCGGGGTAATTTATCAGACCAACTGAAGGTTATGAGTTTTTCCTTTTATATATGTATATGAATTTCAAGCTCTATGCCTACATGTAGGAATATTTCTACTCAGTCTAAATCTAATCTTTAACCAGGGGTCTGTGGGCTGGAAGGTTTCTTAATTTTACATGGGTCCTGTTATGTTTTGTATGTGCATGAATGCTTTTATCACTCAATCAGGTTTGAGGCTGAGAAAGCCCAGGTAGGGTCTTAATGGGTTTGTTTCTGCATTTCAGCTCTCCTACTCAGGCACCAGTTTCTCCAGGTCTTCAATGTTTAACTTACACATTCAT